AGTTAAGCATAGAGCAATGACATATATAGATTAATAGACTGCTCATCCATATATAAACAAGACGACGAAAAGCGGGTCATATTGCTTGGCTTGCCGAGTGCTCACCAGGCAGAATCGGTCTGGCCCAAATGAGTTTAAAACACATATTTCATCAAAGTAGGAATTGAATTAAAAAAAAAATATCTATATGTTTATTTCAAGACAGGAGCTTGCGTTAGGTATTTTAAAAAAGGATTTTGAGTCGTAACGTCTAGTTTCCCAATTTTCAAAACATTTTAAGAGATCTAACCAATTTTGAACATAGATATAAACAATTTTACACTAATGTGTATATAACTAACTTTAGACCATGACTACTGTATAGTGGAACTATTCGGACACTTGATTATTCTTTTAAAATTTATTTCGCATTATAAAAGCAGATATTATGCAAAAATTGAATGAACTTTTTAAAGATTTAAAGTTAGTAGCTTTTTCACATTCTAAAGTTTGTCCCTTTAGACAATTAAGGATTATTTTGGCGGTGAATGTGAATGATTTGATGAATAATAATAAAATTCCACCAGTGGAAATTTGATCAACATCATAGTAAAATGGACTAGGTACAAAGTGCAACCTTAGTTGACGTCAAGATCCGTGTACCTTAGCATCGGTAAGAGGAAAATAAAGATTCTGACTTACAATCACAAAAAGAATGTACATCTAAGCTTAGTCGATGTAAGTTAGCTCAGATTAGTGGTAAAAAGAAAGCGACTATTAATAAAAAGAAAAGTAATCCAGCTAAAACAAGAATTATGGCTACTATCTTTAATAATGATATGTTGCCAGTACTAGTAGAATGTTAAGTGTTGAGTTATCTTCTTCAGACAATGGATGTACGTATGCATAATTTAAAATGTTTGGTTAATTATTATTATTATTATTATGTTTAATGTGCTTTTGCAGTTAATGAACATATATCTACTACTGAAGCAGATAATGAAGATTTGTGTGCTGCTGAATAGCTTTGCTTAATTTACAAAACTTTGTTTAAAAGCAGAAAATTGGGATCGATTGTTCAACACAAGTGAAGAGTGGTGATTTAGTTGATCCGTTTTCAACCAGAATTGTTAGTGCTAAAGAACTATCTACTTTAATAGGATTGCAATCCTTCCAGTTATTAGCCACCATTGTGGAATTAGTAGAAGAGTTGTTTCTAAAGAATAGGAAAAAGGAGATCAGTTATGTCTGTAAAGGATCAAGTTATATTTACTTTTATGAAGTTGAAAACTGATATGCAAGATATAATGTCTTATTCATTTTATTTGGAGTGAATGAAACTTTTTATCGTTAAATTTTTTAACGGTTTCTAATAAAACTAGTAGAAGTTCTTAGTATGGTATAATTCGGCCTTCAAAACAAGAAATATTAAATAATGTGCCTCTATGTAAGTAAGAGTACTACTTGATTGTACCGAAATCCCAATACAGCAAGCCAAATGTCTTTGTTGTAGGCTAAAAAATTACTCTGACTACAAAAAGAGGCATACTATTAAAATATTGACTGGAGTGTCACCTACTGGTCTCATTACTTACAAAAGTGAAGCATATGGTGGTAAACTTCAGAAATAGACATTTTTTAACAAAGTTCAATACTTGAAGTGTGTGAATCATTTCTCGATAATAAAATGTTTAACAAAGGTTTTCTTATTGGGAACATAACAGAAGCTGAAGGTATACAAATTATACAGCCTCCTTTCCTCAATAAAAAAAATCAGTTCAGCCATCAAGAGGCTTTACTTAATGCCAAAATTGCCAGAGCTAGAATTCACATAGAAAGAACCTATCAAATAATAAAAGTGTTTGTCTCTCTGTATTGGTACTTATGTCCGTTTTTCTTCTATTTATATTGAGTTTTTATTATACGATTCTTCTCTGTATCTAACTAACTTTTAAAATGTACTTGTAAAGCACAGATAGCTATAACTCGGGCCTTTGAATATAATAATATTTATGTAATTGTATTTACAATAAATACTTTATTATTAATATTATTATTATAAATAAATATAATTCGTAAAATTATTATAAACGTATTTACCTTGTACCTACTTGTATTGATACTTGCGTGAAAAATGAAATGTTACTTTTTATATTTCTGTAGCTGGTCTTACAAACCTTTATAGAGCAATTCACCATTTAAATTTAAAAACAAAACAAGTTTTTATACTCAAATAAATAAAAGACTTAAAACAGAACATAAGTATAATTAAAACTAAATAAAATAAACAATTCAACAAAATGTCCGACTGAGTAATGACAATGAGAACAAAATCTCAACTAGACTAAACTTTCTTTAAAACCGGTCCTGTGAAAGGTTTGTTTACCAGTGAGCACTCAAAATTGAGACAAAACACAAACATTGCATGCACTAGACAAAGAGAAAACATCTCCCAGATCGACCCACTTTTCATCGTTTTATTTACGTATGGATAAGCAGTCTATTTAAACTATATATGTCATTGGCATAGAGTAGTTAATCTGCTTAATTTATTGATTACTGGGTAATGTTTTGATCGGGATAACAATACAAATTTATCGCTCAGAAATTTCCTTCTTAGATCCAATGGACTTTCACATGTTTCGACTTCCATAACATTTATAGGAGTGCTTGGTTAAAATCCTACGCAGAGTCTTAGGCATTTATTTTTAATTTGTTCAATTTTCTGAAGATGTGAGTTTGCTGCTGTATTTATAAAAATTGAACCATAATCTATAATTGGACGAACCAGCATGCATTCTATAAAACATTAGACTAACATTTGGGTCAGAACCCCAATTATGACAAGTAAAAGTTTTTATTATATTTACAGCATTTTGGGTTCTTTTCTGAACATAATTTATATGTTCCTTCCAGTTTAATTTACTGTCTATAATAATGCCTAAAAATTTAAAGGAGGATTTATAAGCCAGGTTATATTTATGTAATTTTATATAATTTGGATGGTTATACCTTTTGCGCGTATAAGTAACTACAGCCGACTTCGATTCAGATATTGTTAAACCGTTTTCATGACTCCAACTATGAATTTTCTCCATAGATTTGAATAGCTGATCATGGCAATAATTAATTTGTTTGTGGCTTGTATAGATCACTACATCATCTGCGTATTGAAGAATATTTGTAGATCTTGGAATACAATTTTCTATATCAAACGTGTAAATATTATAAAGTAAAGGGCTTAAAATACTTCCTTGAGGGATCCCAAGGCCCGATTCTCGTGGACAAGATAATTCACCGTTTACTTTTAAAAATAATTTCCTATTGTTATACAAATGATATATATGATTTGAAATAGTTATGGGGATTCCTAACTTACATTGTCATAAGCACCTTTTATGTTTAGAAATAAAGCACTTGTAGATTCATTTTTTGATAAGCATAGTTGAATATCTGTTACTATATTTGCTATACTATCCTGAGTTGAAATATTTTTGCGAAATTCAAATTGAGTAGATGAAAGTAAGTTGTTATTTTCTAAATAATATTCCAGTCTGAGTTTTATCATTTTTTCATACGTCTTAAATATACAAGAAGCAAGAGCAATTGGTCTATATGATTCAGCTTGATCTGATCTTTTCCCAGGTTTTAGTACAGGGATAATAATGTATTCGTACCATTCTTTAGGAATTGTTATTTTTCTTGTCCATATATTATTAAATATGTTGAGAAGAGATAATTTTGCATTCTTTGGTAATTTATTCAGCATAACATAGTGTATTGTATCGTGACCCGGTGCTGTATTGTTTGGATTTTTGAGGGCAAGACAAATTTCATGATAAGAAAAGGGTTGGTTTAGATAATCGGTCACTGTTTGTTTTGCAATATTTTCTAATGATGGAGTTCTATGAACATATGGAGGTGTCAAGTTATTATGGAATTCTGTTAACCAGATCGATTCATTTATGTCTATTTGTACGGTATTATTTATTTTCCTATTTTTGTATGGATATAAGGAATTATAATTTTACAGTAGAGATCCAACTAATACAACTATATTATAGGTATAAAATCATCGAGCTCAAACTGATAAGATGAGCAGCTATCTATTTCAGATAGATCTTTTTTGGTTAAAAACAATATAAAAATGGAGTAGTAAATAAAAAAATTATAATTAAAAAATGTTCAAACGTTAGTAAGCAATTGCGCAATAGAAGATCAGGTTGCACTCATGTAATAATTAAACCTTAACTACTAGACCCCGCCTGACCCTGCAGCGCTTGCTCCATTTGTATTTTAAACAGACTTTCATGCGACGCTACAGTACCTTTTTTTAATGATTATTTGTCTGTCAACCTAAGTACAGCGTTAATTGGTGATTTTACATTGTCAGTGAATTCGATGCAGATTTTGAAGAATCAGATAGTAAAGATGAAGACTCAAACTAATGATTAATTAATATTATCACATGATGTTGTATCATCTAATCTTTTAAGTAATAGAAAAAATAATTTTGAGGAATATCAAATTACGAATATTAAACGTGAAAGTGTGTCTCGAAAAAAAAAAAAAAAAAAAAAAAGGAATAAGAACCTATTGTACGATTTTTAATTTAAAAATATAGGTAGAAAAGTGTTTAACGTTTCGTATAGTCATTTATAGTGTCATTAAGTTTTTTTAAGTATTTGATAGGACTTTTTATTTTTTTACCATACAAACAACACATATTTATTTTCTAGTAATCTTTGCTTAAAAATTTTAATAATTTTTATAAAGTGTTCCATTTTTATTTTGGCAAAAAAAATATAAACGATTAGTCCTAAATAAATAGATATTTGTTTGGCTAATTTTGTATTTATTTTATTGTATTGCTTTGGTAAAGCCATTAAATTTCCGGAGTCTGATAGACGGACAAGAAATTCATCTCAGTAGCTATAGGTTAAATTGTAGAAAAAAATTGTTTTAAAAATAAATAGCTAAGGTGTCAAAGTTAAAATTGTATGCTTATTGTAAATTCTTACCTTAGATAAGCGAATTTCTGTATATTTCTTTCCGGATAAAATATAACCTAATATAATTCCCATTAACCAAGGCGTAGCCCTAGTTTCAGTTTTCAAATAATAGGTATTCATATATACATCAGAGGAAGACCTAAAATAAGTATTTATTCATTTATTACATCTCCTACTTAAGAATTTATAAATCTACAACTAAAAATACAATAATTGCCAATTCTCCTACCAATAAAGTTAAAGTTATTCAAAAAGAGAAAATTATATTTACAAAAAATTATCTAGTAACTTATTTATTACTATTACTTGAATCAACCCATGCTCCATTAGAATTAGAAATCATATTAGGAATGAAGCACAAAATAACAAAAGATCCTCTAATTAAAAATAAGACGATTAAGTGGAACGGGGAAGCTGAGTTAGGCCAGCGTTGCAGGTGGCGTAATCTAGGTAGTTGAGTTATGTCCGCGACCTTCTTTAATCCTTTGTCAATTATTAATTAGGAGTATTAATAAGTAATTAGGAAAATGATGTGAAGATACATTACGGATGTAAGGAAAATAGAAAAGTACTATTTTGGGACGGACGCCAATTGAGCACTTTATTACCCTCAGGTAAAATTGATACCGTAGTCGGACACGCCAATTGAGCACCAAGGACCAAACAGAGACCGGCCAGTTGAGCACTTTATGACTAGCCAATTGCGCACTTTATTACTAGTTTGTTCATTAACGAATTATTAGGTACCTACTGAATTAATGCAAACAGTTATTTTTCTCGTTTAAATAAAAATCAGAATATGGTAGTTGGCATTTATTTATTAAAAAAAAATCATGGGGTCAAAACAATTTTTAAAAAGTATTTTTTCGCAGACCTGTGTAATAATAATAATAATTTTACAGTAAATAGTATTATAGTTTGTATCTATGAGCAACTACTTCACAAAATCATATTCCGACAATAGCTTATTATCTAGCTCCAAAATCTTCTGATTTAAAAACTTTTCCGCATCTCTAACTTTTTCGTTTTTACAACAATAGGGTTACCAATACTTTGAATTTTAATATAAACTAAGCATTGAAATTCAATAAGAGTTTAAACAAAAGCGTTAATATTGGGGTGCGTATGGTAAAAAAATTTTGAAAAATGAGAGTGAAAGGATTCACAGGGGTTGGTTGTTAAAAATAAATTACTGGTTTTGGAAGCCCATACCGAAGGAGGAAATACAGACGTTTCCGAAATATAAAAATCAACTAAATAATCTGCTAATCTTAAAAGGGCATTAGAATCAGGAATGTCCGACATAAAATTATTAATGAAACAATCGCTTACACTTTCGGGAGTGAGAAAAGGTAAACCAAATAAATGTATCCATTTTCCTGACTCAGTTTGACTTTTATAAAGGTTTACTAAACCCAAGTTTTAAACTTTTCCATACCAGCTTTGTACTAAATGGAATCGACAACCAAAAATTTTTGCATTTCGCCAAACAGATTGCGCAGAATTATGAATGGCTTTTTCGAAATCTATAACTATCTGTTGAGGATTTAAAGAAATATTTATGGAATTTGATAACATTAGTAATTTATTAAACAGAATGGTATACGTTTTGCCTAGTTTGGTTGGAAGAAGGCAAAAAACTAAAGCAATATAATGTCCATTCCGCAACCCATGAATAGTAAATAGTTAAAAAAAGAATTTTGTACAATATTTAAATGTTTCATCCATGTAAATTGTGTTACACTGCGATAAACATTTCATATTAGATGTACAACCAAAAATTACAATATTAGTTTCAATATCATTGGCCAATAAAAATGGTTCGTTTCTATCTGTTGTTAAATACATAACATTCAGAGCTTCTTGGACATCATGTATATCTTTTGGTGTAGCTGACTTGTTGGTGTTCAATCGATTGCGATTCATATTATGCCGTATGAAGTCCAGATCCATAGTTGTTATATTTTCCTTATTCGAAGACGTCGAAATCTCCATATTCATTATTTTTGATGGTCGTTGGCAAATGTCATGATCCCAGATAGCACACGACATCTGAAAGACGTCTTTTTTGTGTCTTGGTTTGGTCTCAATGTCCTAGGACGTTATTAAGACGTCTTATAAGACGTCTTGCAAAAGCCATAATTCAGACGTATTAATGTGAGAGCTCAAAGACGTTCTTAAGACGTCTTAAAGACGTCTTGCCAAATCCATATATTAATGTGAAAGCTCAAAGACGTCTTTAAGACGTCTTACAAACGTCTTTCAGTCGGACGGAAACTTGCACGGTTTACATAATTCAAATTTAACAAGAAGAATCAAATAAAGTGAAGTTTGACGTTTGATTTAACATTATATTCAAGCCGGACTTCGGATTCGGACAACATCGTGGCAATATTGAAATGGCGTTCTCCGAATCGGGAGCCAAGAAGTCCCATAAAAATCACAAAATATCTAGTATAAAAGTGACCATCCGAATTTAAAAAGTATACAAAATTAAACAAAATATTCAGTGTAATATTTGGAGAAGACAATTGAAATCAAATATCAAGTGCAGTGGAAAAGTGAAAACGAAGAAAAGAAGAAATACATTCAAGCCCAAGCCAAAAATTTGTATGGCCCAAGCTCATTGTGGATTATTTTATTGCGTACACGATTATAGCCACCAAAAGCGACTTTGGGCTATTTTGAGCATTTGCCTCTTTCTACTTAAATAATATGGGACAAAAACCAGAGAGGGAAGAATAGTTTGTGTTACCGATGTAGCACGTTCCTGGAATACAGGTAATAAATGAATATTTGTTTATATACATAAAACATTAATATCCTGTATCTTCTAAGAATAATTAAATTAATTTAAAAGTAAACATCTTAATATAAGATTTAATTCAGATATTCCTCAAGTATCATTTTTGTTTTGTTTTTATAGAGATTTTGAGAACTAATAATATCAAAAACTCCCTATTAGATAGCAATTTTCAGTGAAGTTAGAGTAAAATTGTTAAAGTAGGCGATTAAGCATAATAGCTCATATTGCATTAAATGATTATAAAAATTCTTTGATTTAAAATTCTAAGAAATTAATTTTTTGTTTTATTTTATAGATAACTGTTTTGTCGGTTTTTACTAACTTTTGCAAAGTATAATTTTCTGTGACTAGATGCTCTTAACTAAATTTCTTTTTAGGAGCTATACAAAGGCAACTACAAATCAAAGAGAAAAATCAATCCAGTTATGGCTAAAGAGGAGTGATCGAATGCGCTACAAAGAAAATAACTCTTAGTGACCTGTGATTAATAGATGTTTTATCAATAAATATTTTAATTCTATTTTTTGCATTATTTATAATCTGCAAGATTATTCTACTTTTTAATAACCAAGATATCCGACATCCTACGTTCATAAGACATCTTAAAGACGTCTTATTTATGGCTTCACAAGACCATTATAAGGCTTCACAAGACCATTATAAGCTATTAATAAGTCGTCTTAAAGACGTCTTATTTATGGCTTATTTAAAGCTTCACAAGACCATTATAAGCCATTAATAAGACGTCTTATTTAAGGCTTCACAAGACCATTATAAGCTATTAATAAGTCGTCTTAAAGACGTCTTATTTATGGCTTATTTAAAGCTTCACAAGACCATTATAAGCTATTAATAAGTCGTCTTAAAGACGTCTTATTTATGGCTTATTTTAAGCTCTACAGACCAATATAAGCCATTAATAAGACGTCTTAAAGACGTCGCTTTTTGTAACATCAGACGTCTTCTAAGACGTCTTTCAGGAAATACCAGACGTCTTAAAGACGTCTCGAATGTCTTATGCTAGACGTCTTAAAGACGTCTTTAAGACGACTTTGTGCTATCTGGGGAACGGCCTTCCTTTTGCAACTATTACTTATAGCACGGCATAATAAACAATCGGCAGGCTAACTTGTCTTGGCGGCAACGCTACGCGCACATCTACGCGCACACCGCCATTTTGAGGTCCAACCTCTTAATCAAGCCAGTGGCGTCACTGTCGTCGTTTATATCGACAAAAACAAACAAGTTGCAGTAGACGGAATCAGTAGCGTGTATCTTAAATTTATTCTGTTTGTGATGTTTGTATTATGTAGTTATTGTTATTTTTTTAGAATTATAGATATTTTTGGACACTTTTTATATAGTAGTTGTTTTCCAGTGTTAATTTGTTAACTTTTAAGTGTTTTACTATGTCTGGGCAAAGTTGTGCAGCAAAAATATATATTAAAAAACTGTATTAAAAGATTTTTTCGGTTTCTTAAAGATCTTATTAGGTATGTATGGTATACTTTTAAAAAAATCCTAGTATATAAGTCAGTTTGTCAGTTATAAAGCTATTAGTAAGATGTAGGTAGGTGCCTAGTTAACGTCACGTAAAGTTTAGCGTCAATTAATATTTACTTATGTAGGTATATTATTAAGATTTAAAGTAAAATGTTATATTTTAAACATCTCCCGTATGGAGTTGATAAAATGGAAAAATCTTTATTTTTATTTTAAGGAAAAAGTCATTATAAAAAAATTCTGTTTGACGAAAAAATAGGTTTACCATATTAATATGTTAGGTCAGGTGTATATGGTCTTAATAAATGAAGAAACTTAAAATTGACAAAAGGAAAAAATCTGTATTACCTTATTGATTTTACGAAGAAAAGTCACAGTTTTCCTTTCGGTTTTTCTTCATAACTTTAAAAGGAAACTTTTTCTTGTAATTTTCTTTAACAATTAGAATTTTTTGTAAGGAATAATTTTTTTTTCTGAAAATAAAAATTATTATTAATCGTAATTGTGTTATTCCCAAATATTGAAATGCTTAACAAAAATTTAATTCTGATATTCCTTTTGATAATTATTCTAGATATGCGAATAACAAAGCTTTATAATCTTGATAAATCTAAAGTATTTTCATTACAAAAAGCAAGAAAACTTTAATTAGCCATTAAAGAAATTATAAGTAGTAAATTAGTAATTAGTCACAATCAAAATCATGTGTTTTAAGCAGTGCTATTAAAAATGTAAAATTCTTATATTTTGTTGAAGTAAATTCAAAAGCCCGCCAATTTTCAAGCTAAAATAGCATTACATCTTTCTATATTACCGACTGAGTATTAATT